TTGCCCAGAAAACAAGTTTCCATCTCGATCATAGACGCGCAAGAGTTTTTAGAAATTTATTAGTCGTTTTTTGACAAAGTTGAATTCTTACCAGTACCTTGGAAACGAGGCATTTTCTGACGGAATGGGCCATGGATTCGGTTTCAGCGTTCACGTTCCCGACTGACTCATTTTGTGACCTTTTTGGTAAGAATACATGGTAATTATATTTTAAAATGCTTTAAATGCGGTTCAAATGACCCTTATTCCACGTATTTTGGGCTGCCCATATTGAATCCGAGGTCGTTTTATATGTCTGTGACCCCGTTTATGATGTAGATGTAATTACTTAGCGAGAAATTGCAAAACTAGGAGTTTTTGCGACTTTAAGGTACTACAAATCCATTTTTTCTATCGATGGCTACATGAGAGCGGAGCTTTGCATAATGAGGTAATAAAATTTGGGGTGCTGAATATGAAGATCACAGTGAAAAATTTCTTAAGTGTTATCAGACGGAATTTAGGGTGAAAAGTTGACGAGAAACTATTTTTCCGGGCTAGCCGTGAATTCTAGCGATGTATCGACATCGAGTTTGGAATCGACGCACCCGACTTGCCCAGAAAACAAGTTTCCATCTCGATCATAGACGCGCAAGGGTTTTGTATTAGTCGTTTTTTGACAAAGTTGAATTCTTGCCAGTATCTTGAAAACGAGGCATTTTCGGACGGAATGGGCCATGGATTCGGTTTCAGCGACTCAAAAAGCGTATTATAAAATATGTTGCTTTCACGTTCCCGACTAAACCTAAACTTATCTGGATGTGTGGACTCCTTCTAGATGCTGCCGAGATGACCTCAGCTCACAGAAGCTCAGGCTTCTTGGTTAAAACCAGTGGGTAGTAGTGGACAAGGTCGCAAGGAGCTCCACAAAGTATGAGCTGCTTAAAAATTTATTGATGTTGATATTGACCAAACTTCTTCTGGATATGCACATGGTAAGATGGTGTAAAAAAGAGCTCACCGCTGACCAGGTTAAAATCCCATAAAAATGGAGAGAGTAGCACCCAAATCAAAACAAACAACTAATTGTAAGGTAGATACAAAAAAGATGCTACCCGATAAGTTAGTGATTGGGGCCCAATATCCCCAAAATCTGAAAACTAAACCAACTTCAACAGGAAAGATGACAGACTCGAAATTTCAGTCCTTCCATCAGTCAGTTGACTGTCAATCAATGTCAAAAGTAGGAGGGCGTTCAAAAATTCTATAGTACACAGATTCGATGTCAAAAATAATATAATGGATAACTGAATCTACATACGCAACATCACTGGTTGCCTATGGGTAGACCTCGGGACCGTGTTATTTCCCAAAATAGTGTTGCGGATAAGAGGTATCAGATATTTTATGGGTAAATTTCTGAGATAGTCATTAATAAAATATCAAAATACTAGTGACTCCAACCCAATCCTGAGTAGCGCTAATAAAGAAATCATACTTTCACGATTAGGTCTTTTCGAGATCAATAGATCAATAAACTATGAAATTTGCCAAAAGAAAATCATTGAAAAGGAATCGGTACTCTATGAATAATAGCAAGAGTTTCAAACTACTGGTAAGTGATCAAAATAATAAAAAAATACGTCATTCTGACACGTTACACTATTAGCAGCAGACAGAAATTGTGAGAAATTACAGCTTGGAAGTGCATAGAGAAAATTTTATATTCATTTATTCACCTATCAGAACAATATTCCACCGTCGCTGTCAGCAAACAATATTTGAAGTATATGTGTTTTCATTTTTCGGCAATACAAACATGGAGGATTATAAGAAACGCATGAAACCTGAAAAGTTATCAATTTTGAGCTACGAGATGTTCGAAGACATGATTTGTTAAAGGCTACTGAGTTGGGAAAAACTCACAAAACTAAAAATACCCGAAAGTCTTCAGGAGCTTGAGGGAACGCTCTCCGACGCGTTTAGCAGTATGGTATTATTTCTTTGTTTTGAGCGTATAAACATGTCCAGTACTTATATAAGCCTATATTCAACGTTCTACCTAAGTACGATCTAAGCTTTATCAGTAACATGTGAAATGTGGAACATGCACGATGAACATTCTTGTAAACATCGAAAACCTAAATTAATGCCTTCTAAAGATTTGTTTGACCGAGAAAAATTATATGAAGTTATGCTAGGAGTACCAGATAAACTGATAGTCGAAGTCGGAGTGACAAAGGACTGATAGAGATGTTTAACCAATCCAGCATAATACAAAAAACTCGAGCCCAAAGTGTCTGCTGGCTGGGACACGTCTACAGAATGCTGTCTTATAGGAATGCCAAAGAAGTGCTGCTTGGAGGAGAAAGCACTAGAAGAGGAAGAGGAAGGCCTAAGTGCTGATTTATATAAAGATTTCCAGCTCTCCAAAAAACATCAAACTACTGCACCAATAAGACATCAGAAGCTCAAAAACGTTGAAAAAACGAGCTTTCAGGACGTTTTAACATCCTCAGAGTTTTGCTTAGAGCTTTCAAAGCCTACAAAACCTTTTCGTCCTTGTCATGTGATATAAATATATATTTGGTCGAAGTTTCAACAAACGGCAACAGGCATACACGGGCAGATAAACAGACCGACGGTAAAAACTGAGATTATATTGATTTAGAAATTTCCCGCGGTTCCAGTTGCCCTGGAAAGTGATTTTTCATTGAAAAAGTTGGCGGCAATATTCATTGTTACAAGCCAATAATCCAATTTTCTCTGAAACTTGATGGAGTATGTTTCGGTATCTAAGAACAAACCTGAATTCCAAAGTTTCATCACCTCAGACCCGCGACGCTGACGGTCATCTCCACATGGATGCCACCGAATCCGCCAACTTACTGGCAGAGTCCTTTAGTGATGACTTCGTCGATGAGCCTAATGGATACCTTCTACCGACCACTATCTGCCATAGGTGTCCCAACAGCCTTTGCGAAGTTGAGTTCCTGCCTGAAGATGTATTAATGCACCTGCGAAATCTGAAGACCTCTTCCTCTCCTGGTAAAGATGGGATGATGGCTGCTGTACTTAAAAACTGCGCTTCAGCACTGGCCCTACCATTAAGCTTGATATTCACATCGTCTTTTAGATCTCATACCCTACCCTCATGCTAGCTTAGTGCTTCTGTTACCCCTGTATTCAAAAAGGGCGACAAATCCTCCGCTAAAAATTATCGACCAATAAGTCTCGTTCCTATCGCCGCCAAAATAGCTGAAAGAATCATATTAGATAAGCTCCTGTCATTTGCTTTCGAAAATGACCTTATCCCTAAGAATCAGCATGGATTTCTCCCTGGTCGATCAATAATGACCAACCTTCTCCACTCTCTCAACGATTGGACTCAGTATCTTTACACAAAGACTCCTGTTGATATAATCTACTTAGATTTTTCTAGGGCTTTCGATCGCGTACCACATAGAAGGCTTCTGTTTAAGTTGGAATGTATGGGAATAAGAGGCGAGTTGTTACTGTGGATTAAGGCTTTTCTCACCATGTAGCAAGTGTAGTTCCTCAAGGCTCTGTCTTGGGGTCAGTGCTGTTCCTTCTGTATACAAGTGACCTGCCCGCATTGATTTCCTCCACATGTTCAGATTATGCAGACGACACCAAGATTTACAATACTGTCGTAAATTCTGCTATGCTTCAACGAGATTTTGATATTGTTTGTCAATGGTCAGTCAGTTGGCTTTTACCCTCAAATCTAACTAAGTGTTGTGTCCTTCACCTCGGGAAGACAAATCCGCGATTTACATACAAGATCTCTGACCACAACATCGAAGCAGTTTCCAGCCACACTGATCTGGGCGTTGCAGTCAACGATCGTCTTTCCTGGTCAGAGCATATACACCACGTTACATCAAAAGCCAAGAAACTTCTATACATGCTGGAGAGGTCTTTCAAAGGATCCGATGTCAACACTTGCGCGTACATTTACAAGGCATTCGTTAGGCCAATTCTTGAATTCGCTGGCCCGGTATGGGACACTGTGCTTCTGCGCGATAGAAATGTCGTCGAATCAGTACAGCGTCGGGCTACTCGTATCCCTTTTGGAGCACGAAGACCAAGCTATAAAGATCGCCTTGAATTATTCAACCTGACCTCATTCTCTGAGCAAAGACTTCGTGGCGATCTTATAGTTACGTTCAGGATACTTCATGGTTTGATGGGCACCAACCTCATGCATCTATACCGTCTGTCGCGCAGCAATCTACGCGGACACAGCTTCAAACTGCATAAGGAGCCATTTAAAACAACAGTCCGACAGTGGTTTCTTCCCAACCGCATATTCAACACCTGGAATAGTAAACCTGAAAGTGTGGTTGGCGCTACTTCAGTTAATAGCTTCAAAGTGCAGTATGATAGCTAGAGGAGTGTACAAACTTTATAGCTATGAACTGTCTTTTTTTATTTTTTTCTATTTGATGTATTTGTGTTACGTGTCCGTACACTATATTTACTGCCTGAGCTTATAGTACTGTGTACTCTGCTCATCTCAATTATCATAATAATAATAATAATGTCAACAAGTTTTTTGCTATCACTAGAGGACTTCTGGATTACAATATACAGGTTGTTTCCTGATTAAGTGTCATTCCTCAATGTGGTGATTTGTTAGTCCATTATGGGGAGAAAGCTTCAGATGACCGTATGTGCTAAACGGCTTAGGTTTTGAGATACAGGAAAGTTGAGTCTTTAAAAATGAATTCTTTACTATTAATATCTATAAAACGCTAGGTATTTTAATCAAATTTGTCATACATGTACTATGCATCAAGGGGAACTTTCTTATTATATTCTTACATTTTTATAGTTTCCACCAGTGGCGTTTATACGGAATTTCACCTGCCTGTTTTGGCATTTTACATTGCTGGTACGCCCACTCCCTTAAAGTAAAAATTTCACTCTTGAAGTCCCCCCGCCCCGACAAAATTTGATCGCTGTTTTTTTCAATCCGGTTCACGGTTCCCACTTTCCCACTTTAAAAATAGAAACCGCTCATCTGCATGATCTTAACAATATCTTTATATGAGAACATCGCCATACAGCGAAACAGATTTCCTTTTTTTTGGTAAAAAGCGCGCGTTAGGCTAAAAAACTTCAGGGGACAGAATCTGTTCTTAAATTAATACAGATTTATTTTTTTTACTTCAAGAGACTTTCTATATTGCAAACTTCATCATCCCGTATCTCAAAGTCGTCCCCTTGAACATTGATATTCGATTAGGATATTCCGAGTCATTAAAAAAAGAATAACCGGAGATTACAGGAAACGGCCCTTCAAACAGAGCGAAAAAGCGATCCCGGTAAGAAAAATAAAACAAACCGGATCGATTAAAATTAGCTTTATAGCGCTTTTAATTTCTACTTTTAAATCCTCTTCGGCAAGCAAATAAAAACCTCCTTCCAATCCGAAAGGAGACGATAAAAAAAAAACAAGAAAATACAGCAGTGAACCTACAATAAAACCAAGAGCGCATTAAGAAAATCAATTCCTTTCTCTGTTTGACAATGCAGTTTGCTCTAGATCTCCACAAAGATATTAGGTACACATTCTAGTGTGTGTTCTAAGATAACGGCATATACAATACTACAAAGCAAGGCAACATCTGACGATATAGTGGCGTTTTTCCACAAAACGGACCAAATAAACCCGTGTCGAATAAAACAGAACTGTAACGTTCGCAAACTTTAAGAAGACTGGCGTGTTTTGCGATAGTTGGAGTTTGGTTTTTCGTGTCCTGCGTCACATCGAAAGGTTTCGAAACTCGAGTCTGCTATTGCAAACTGTCGTGTTATGTTTTCCATTTTCGCTTTGCTGGTCTGAATACGAATTTTATATTAAATTCGTAGATAACCGAATAACGTATCTTTTGTAGATAAGATATTTGGCTTTAGATTCTGGATAAATTTATAAGTAAATTAAGCTTTGTCTGCAGTAGCAAGAAACCTCAGTGTCACTGCTAATCAATCTTTAACAGAAACTGAATCTTTAAGCTTTGTGTTTTTGCAACTTGTTAGCCAATTATTGTAATCGGATGTTCAAAATCAGAGGAAGACATTCTCAGAAAATTATGACATAATGTGCGATGTTCCCCACGGAGTCCAATGTCATCAGTAAGTTGTGCAGCACCATCGTCCATTATTCTAGATAAGTGTGATTGAACCCAATACCTGTGTTGTTCTTCTCCTAAAAAATAATGCTATTTTAATCACTAATGAATATAGATGGTCAATTAGTTAACGATAGCAAGCTGATCGCCGATCACTTTGTAGACTATTTTAGCAGCATCGGTAGAGTCCTGGCAGAGAAAAGCAACAGTAAACAATTTTGAAAAGACAATAAAGACAGAACCATTTTTCTTAGAGGATACGTCAGAAGAAGAGGTGATAACTACCATCATGTCTCTAAAAAATAACAAGATGGGATGAAATTAGAGCTAAAACTCTAAAAATAATTGCTATCGAAAGTTCGGAACCGTTAACTTTTATATACTAAGTGACATATAAATCCGAACACCCAGTTTAAATGGTTTTATTTTAATAAAATTTTGTATAAGTACTTAATGAAGCATAATAAGTAAATGATAAAAATTTCAAAATGATTGCACTGCTTTAAAGCCCTTTGACCTTTAATAATGTGTGGATGCACCCTGATGTGCTACGCATTCTCCAACGCGCCTAGGCATGCTTCTGATCAGGTGGTCAATGTCCTCCTGTGGTATCTCATTCCAGGCAACCACCAACTCCTCTCGAAGTACTTCTAGAGACTGAGGAGGACGTTGCAAATTGAGCAATCTCCTATCCATCATATCCCACACGTGCTCAATTGGGGATAAGTCGGGAGATCTTGGTGGCCATGGTAACAATGTGACATCATTATGTTGAAAGAGGTCTATTGTGACTCTTGCAACATGTGGTCGGGCATTATCTTGTTGGAAAGTTGGATCTGCCAGGGTGTCAAGATAGGGTAAAAGATGGGGTTCTAGAACTTCATGGATATAATGCTGCGCGTTCATGTTACCTCTGATGAAGATTAAAGGTGACCTGGAACCATAAGCTATAGCACCCCAAACCATAACTCCAACAGTGTGATGAACATGTCTTTCAACAAAAAACTGTGGATTCCTCCTTTCACCACGTCGCCTTCTAACCCTGGCACGACCATCGTGCATGCCTAAACAAAATCGAGACTCGTCACTAAAGACAATACTGTTCCATTCCTGATCCCAGAGTGACCGTTGTCTGCACCACTCAAGGCGATTACTTCGGTGTTCTCGAGTTAAAGGGAGGACCCAGTGTAGCCGGTATGAAAACAAGCCAAAACTTCTCATTCGTCGGTAAACACTTCGCAGGCCAATAGGTCTTCCGTGTTCTGCAAACCATTCATTTGCAATGGACCTGGTAGTGGAGAAACGGTCCCTTAAGGCCAATAATCTTAGGCGGCGATCTTCACGGTCTGTTGTTCTACGGCGGCATCCAGTGGCCCTTGCTCTTTGCGTACGGCCTTCTCGAAGCCATGCTTGACAACACCTAACCACAGTGTCTACACTTCTTTGCACTCTAATTGCAATTGCCCGAAAAGAAAGTCCAGCTTCCCGAAGTCCCACTATACGGCCCCTATCAAACTCACTAAGTTGACGAAATCGTACAGGTCTCCGTACTCTAGGCATCGTAACCGATCGTAAAGGATGTCAAGAACCAAAATCCGCCAACGTTGATTCTTTACTGCGGCTGAAATATTCATTTTTAGAGCGTTAGTGAATTAAAAAAAGGCAGTATAAAAACCGGAATGTCCAACTGATAAGGCTGAAAATTTTTTCACTTGTTATTTACAGTAAGATAAATACATTCACCAGCTTTTATTAAAATAAAACCATTTAGACTGGGTGTTCGGATTTATAGGTCACTTAGTATATATGAAACAGAAATGCAATCATTTTGAAATTTTTATCATTTACTTATTATGCTTCATTAAGTACTTATACAAAATTTTATTAAAATAAAACCATTTAAACTGGGTGTTCGGATTTATATGTCACTTAGTATAGTTCGTAATTGTTCATAAGCTAATGCATACCCGCGTGCAAGGCTAACCTTTCTTCGGGTTTTCTACCATGTTTGTTGTTCTAAAATATGTCATTTCTAGTTTTCAGCTTATAGTTTGGACGATAAATATTATTATTATATACCGTGTGGCCATTTGTGACTTTCCCGTTGTATTTTTGGAAAAACGCTACGATTTTGATTTCTAGGGAGACGTCTTTTATCTATCGCCATACAAAACAGGGCTAGCCAAAAATACGATATTGGGTTACAATTTAGATTTTTTATTTCCTTGATTTATCTAGAACCCACACACTGCCTGAACAGAGCTTCAATTAACAGGCAGGCAAATTAAATTTATACAAAAGGCTGAAGATCGTACATTATAGAAAACAGACGAAAGGATCCAACAGTTAAAAAACGTCTTCAGAGATTGTTTGTTGTGGAACTGACGACTCACTAACACCCTCACACACATTACACATAATATAAAGTGGAAATGTTACTAACATGCCGAGTACGTCAATTGGAAACACGTAGGACGATCCTATCTAAAAAAAAATTAGAAAAAACAATTTTTTGGATCTGAACTAGATAGATTTTACCTACTCAGAGGTATGACGTTGCGTATGCCCCTTTCAGGGTACTCTCGATCACCCTTAAGCTTTAGGTTCTTCATATGTCGTTGGATTCTGTCGATGGTATTACATTGTATATTATAAGCCGGGTACAAGATAGTAGAACAAAATAACTAGAAGGGCTTTGACTAAGGGATTAAAAAGTTAAATCAATGTGGTTGTGCATGTCTATAGCAAAATCTTTGAGCAATCAGATGGTGATAACGGTCTCCATGAATCCGTAGCTGTGCTTCGAAGATGATTCATACCCATGCCTTGAAAATACTCTTCATCGTCCAAGCATTGAAATGTGTGCCAAACTCTGAGTATCTACTTTCATAGAGTTGCACTGCTGTACTGAAGTTGTTTAGTCTTTACCAAGAACAGTGATGGTTCTTTGTTGTGCTGTTTGAAATACGATTGGCAACGGAACGATTGGTACAGAAGCATTGAAAGATAATCTCTATGGTGTATTGTGACGAAAGTGGAATTGATTAGACTTAGTATTACATGTTGGTGATATATCTTTTATGTCTTGATTGCCAATATACCTGTAGTGTCCGTTACGACGAGGTTGATGACTCACGTCTGGTATGCTTTTCATAGTAAACGTGTTGATAATATTTAGCATATTAGAAAAAATGCGCGGTTACGACGTCTTCTGGGTGTTCTAACAGACACTGTTTTGAGGTGATTTTAGATGCTTCCAACTTCCTTTGATTTAAATATATAGTATATATATAATAGTTTTACGCCATTCTACATGATCTCTTCTACCATCTATTCATAGGTGTAAATATAGGTATAAGATTCCCCTTCTTTAACAGGCCTTTATCTGTTTCAATTAGAAATAGAGCTCGACATGTTCACCGCGCAAGCAGCGGCGTACATCGAGGAACATTATTCTCTTCCGCTTTGGCACTTGCCTATACAGGGTGTCCCCAAAGTTGGGGTTTTCCTTTTCAGAAACAACTACCCTTGAAATAGCAAAGGTGATGTGTAGTGAAACGAGGGCGACTAAGGAAACAAAATTAAAGGAAAAAGTACTCACTCTTCAGTTGACGAGAAGGGCTAAGTACGTCTCTGCCCGAAATCATACCGCACCAACAAAAAATGAAATCAGCTGATGCGCTACCGAGCAGACGCAGGCAAACAAGGAAGGCAAAATGTTGCGTAAAAAGTCTAGGTATTGCATCCCGTCCAATCGATTGGGAAGAATAAATGGTCCAATGAGCATACCGTTCACCATGCCAGCCCAAACATTCACCGAAAATGTTTGTTGAAAATGTGCCCGACGGACAGCGTGCAGATTTTCTACTGACCAAACATGAGTGTTGCGAAAGTTATTCACCCCATTACGCGTGAACGTAGATTCGTCTGTCACCAATATGCACTTCAAAATGTCCGGATTATTGTCATGTTGATGCAACAACCACTCATAAAACCGGACTCTTGCTGGAAAATCGTCAGGTTGAAGGGCTTGTACACGTTGGACGTGAAATGGATTCAGCCCCTCTTCACGCAGCATTCGCCACACTTTAGTTTTTGATACTTGCACTTCTCTAGCCACGTCTCTAGTGCTTGTTGAGGGATTCTCGTCTACGCGATTACCTCTACACGCGTGACCGTAACCGTCGGTTGAA